TGTGATCTTCTTTATATATATCTTAGGAAATTTTAACCCTCTCTCACGAGGCCACAAATTGCAGCTTGGTAATTGCTCTAGTATTCATAAGGTCTTTTTGACTAGCTAGGCATCAATCTACTTCCTTCCTTACTTCTGCTCCTTTGCCACATTAAACCTATCAGAGGCAGATGGCCTTCACGTATTAAACTTTCTCTTGTGCTCAAGGTCACTGCACCAAGTCTGGTTGCTTTTCTATCTATATAGTCACATCCTGTCACCCATTTCCTTTCTGTTGCCTCAGCGCTACTAAAAAGGGCTATTTTCCATTACTTTCATAAAGACATCAGTCTGAATATTTCTTCTAAATATTTCATGCCCAGAAGAACTTAAGGTGAGTCTATAATGAGAATGTACAATTAACATTTGTTGGTTTGTTCAAATTAAACTGAGATAGACTTCTATCAATTCTTTACTTGTGAAGCATTCTAGAATCTCACACACAGACAATCAGGGTTAACACTAACCATTAACCATTGTTTCCCATTGTGATGTTCTTCAGTTGAACTTTGGAACTTTGGATTGGAGAAGATTTGCAAATGATTTTGGTAGCTGCCTGTGCATAGAACTAGAACATAATTGAAACCAGATAGCAGGAGGAAATTCCTTCTACTAAAAAGGGAGCTGCCCATTGCAAATCTAGTTTCTGATTGGCCAGTTTTCAGGAGATAGTGCTGTGTTTGCGCTAGATCTAATATGGATGATACAGAGATGACAGTTCACAATATTTTGTAAAAGTGTCAAAATATTTGTCCTAAAGACATTCCCAGGTTTGTATGTAAAATACTTCACCAGCAATCTAAGATAGCAGTAGGAGGCTTTGCATTAGGACTGCTATGTTTCCTGATTTAAAATCAAGACTTCTGTAGCAGGGAAATTGTAAAAAAAAAAAAAAAAAAGTGCTCAGTATGATGTTGCTTATGGTATTTCAGGTTCTATTTCTTGAAGGTTTTGTAAGATCTATAATTAGTTGGCTGTTGAATCACATTGCTGTTTCAATGCTTATTTTGGGTAGAGTAAACTCTCCAGCATAGAAAATAAAAAAAGATGAGGCCAATGCTATGGCCTTCTGGATTCTATTAAGAGATGCTTGCTCAAGTGTATGAAAAATGGAAAACTTCTCTACGAGTTTATCTTTGGAGGATTCATAACAGTTTTTCTCAAGTGATGGGATTCAGCCATGTCGCACCAGTTCAGTAGAACTGGTAGCTAAATTTTGCTGAGTTTGGAGAAACACTGCTTCCGGAAGTCCAGTCTAGGCCTCAGAGGCCTGGAGGAGGCTTCCCAGGCCTAGAACGGCCTGCCGGAAGTGCATGGATGCCACTTCCAGAACTCCGTTCTAGGCCTTGGAGGCCCAGGCCTGCATCCAATAAGAGAACCGGTTGTTCAGGTATTTGTATCCCACCATTGTTTTTCTCCAACAAAGGATTATTCCTTCCTTCCTCATCTTCCTACATGGAACTTGAGATCCTTCTTGAGCTAGGTTTTAGAAAAAAAAGTCCAGCATACTTTTATTTAAATAATCTGTAATTATTATTCCCCAATCAATTTTGATATGCCTGCTCATACATGTGTGTGTGTTATCATGTTAATTAAAGAGACCTCTGTTTGAAGGTTGAAAGTTTTCACGTACTGAGTAATTTTAAACAATGGCTGGGACAGCTAGAAGCCTGTCACGCTTGGGTCACTACATCTTTTTACTTTCTTTCCTTACTTCCATGAAATCTCTGGATTTTTACATCACATTACAATATTCAAATATGTTATCTTTTAAAAACAGAAAAAAGTTTCTAAGTCTGGAAGCAATTTCACCATTCTTTGATCTAGAATGCAAATAGAATGGGATTAGAATTTTAGATAAATTATGAGCCGAGGTGGCGCAGCAGTTAGAGTGCAGTACTGCAGGCCACTTTAGCTGACTGTGTTCAGCAGGTCAGCGGTTCAAATCTCACCGGCTCAAGGTTGACTCAGCCTTCCATCCTTCCGAGGTAGGTAAAATGAGGACCCAGATTGTTGAGGGCAATGTAAATATATATATACATTGCTTACTGGTGTACACCGCTTAGAGAGTGCTTGCACTTAAAGCGGTATATAAGTCTCATAAATAAATAAATAAATGCTGTTTAAGTATTTACCTGAATGCATGGGGAGACCTAAATGATTTTTGTGTTTGCTGGATTATAAGTATAGCTTTCTGTGTGATCAGGAATTGAAATAAATAGAGTTCTGGGTTGCCTTGATAGGTCTACTTACATTGGAGCAAATAGGATTTCCTCTTCAGATTTCCCACTTGGGAACTTGACTGATAATGGAGCTGAGCCCTGTGCTCTACTCCAGTCTTCACAACCTTGACAACTTTAAGCTACATGGACTTCAACTCCCAGGATTCCCTACCCAGCCATTGGGGAATTCTGGAAATTAAAGTCTACATGTCTTAAAGTTTCTAAGATTGAAAAACACTGCTCTAGATTTTGAGTTCTCTACATTAAGTGAACATCTAAATGGGGTTAGAAACTATGTGGTATATTCAGCTCTCATACATGGTTGTTTCAGTGCCATGTATAGCTCTTTGCAACCTTCTTTAATGCCTCTTCAATACTTAATCCCTCCAAAATATTTCCTAATGCAAATTATGAGAATAATCATACAGTTGTTTTTAAATAATAGTAATCGAAAGATCAGGGCATAAGACACTGACCCCAGTGGTTATTGGCACATTGGTTGCCATACCAAAAAATCATGGATGACACCTTCACCTTGGATGTTCAGCAGATTTTCTGTCTGCACACTGACAAAATTTCCATCTGTCAATTACAGAAGGCCACATTGCTTGGATCAGCATATAACACTATACCCATAATATCACAACATCCTAGATTCCTGTAAAGAATTTGACGCATGTGAAGGTGAACACCAGCTAAAGAACTGGTAGCTGTGACTTCACTTTGTTGTGAACAAATAATAATATTTTTATGTTTGCATAATTTTCTTTCGGTTGCCAAATTTTTAACATTTTCTCTGGCAGCCAGATTTTGAGTAAGTTTCTTAGTCTTTTGGGTTTCTTTTTATTTTGTTACTGCATAATCCATCAATAATCATGGACAGTATGCCACTGCTGTCATTATGGACAAACATGCCAATATTGTTTCCATATATTCTCTCTTTCACGTGCATCATGACAGCATATTAACATCGGCAGTGAAAAGCTCCATTCTTTGGCTGACAGATGGTTCTCCCTGCTCTCTTATCTTCCCTAGACAAAGAAAAATACAGACACTCTATTTTGACCACTTAAACCACGGAAGGCCTTTGGAGGAAGCTCATCTATATCTTCAAACATTCTAGAAGTAATCAATAAATAATAAGGAAATGGTTTCTTCAGATTTTGGTGAAAATGTGAAACTAAAGACCACTCAGATATAACTGACCATAAATATAAAGTTATTAAAGACAGGGGCACTGTCTTAAAGTTGGAGATTATATGTTAAATAAATGCATGCACACTGATCAATGCAGTTCTCCAGTGTGTTTTTTTGTTTGTTTGTTTTTTGTAAAACCTCCTTTGAAGCAAACAAAAGCTGAGCCAGCAACCTTTTACTATGAGAATCCCTATGTCTGGTGTGCTTTTCTTCAGCTCAGCTTCTGCTCAGTTCAGCCAGATCCATCCTGGAACAGTTGTCCTTGTTAATAGTTGACAATTGCATTGCTCTGCATTCTGTTTTGCTACAGAACAAGTGGAGTGGTTTGCTCATGGCTAGGCCAGAGTTAATAACCTTTAGAACAGCGGTTCTCAACCTGTGGGTCGTGACCCCATTTGGGGTCGAACGACCATTTCACGGGGGTCGCCAAACAACGCGATCCGCCATTTTTTTCCTCAGCTGGTGGCACCGCGCATGTGCGCCGGCACCATGCATGCGCGCTGCGCATGGGGGCGGCACTGTGCATGCGCACCGCGCATGGGGCAGCACCGTGCATGCGCATTGTGCATGGGGGTGCATCCTTATGACCGGGGTCACCGGTATAAAAAGGTTGAGAACCACTGCTTTAGAAGAAGCTTCAAGAAAATGCAACCATGTGGTACTGACAACTCTCATTTGCTGTTTGTTTGTTTTTTTTACCTTGTAGGGCAAGAGTCTTCAGACTTGGCTCTTTTATGACTTGTGGACTTCAACTCCCAGAATTCCTCAGCCAGCATGCCTGACTGAGGAATTCTGGGAGTTGAAGTCCACAAATCATAAAAAGGGAGGGAGGGCTGTAGGGAGATGTTCCATTTGTTTTGTGTCCCCCCCCCCTTCCTTCTGATTTCTAAACTGATGTGAGAACTTTCTAAACAAGGAGGATCATACAGCAGAGAAAGTCCTTCTCCCCCCCCCCCTTTCTTTTTTTGTTTTTGGTTCCTTTCAGTCCTTAAAGGAAGACTCCATCCGGTATGTAAAGGAAGAGATTCCCCGCTGTTTTTTGTTTTTTTTCTCTTTCCCCTTGGTTTCCACACACAATGGAGCTTTCAAGAGAACCTCTCTCCAAAGGAATAGCTCCAGCCTTTGTGTAGAAGGGTGTGCCTATTGGCAAGGCTTGCTAAGCAGACAGCTTGGCTGGTGATTAACAAAGGTCATTAGACTTTGGAATCTGGCAGGCAGAGTCAGATGGTATGTCTTCTGTGGATAGAAGAATGACTCCCATGAGGTTAAAGCGCATACTGTGGACTGTGGAAGACTTTTCTCCTCCCTTTGCTTTTTTTCTTTCTCCCTGTTCCCCGTCTGCCTCCCTTTCTTCTATCCATCCTGTTTTAAAATGATAACAATAGTAATAATAATCTGATTGCATTACTGCTTCTTTGTTTGGACCGGGAGGCCACCAGGCCAGATCTTTTTTGCTTAAGCAAAGGCTTGTTGCTGATGGATCATTGAGGGTTGGAAGAACCTTCAGAGGTATTTTGTCCATGGCTTTCTTAAAACAGAGGAGGAAAAAAGCTGGTTTGATTGCAACCTTGAAGTCTTAGGCATCTGTTCTTTCTCCTTCAAGGGAAAAAAGAACATCTTAAAATGCTGGTTTGTAACCCTGGTCTTGGAAAGCAAAGGAGAAGCTGGAGAATAGTGTGTGCTGGAGATGAGGCCGAGATAAGTGAAGCCATGTTGTGTGCAGGCTAGAAGCTCTGAGACTATCTCTCCCTTACTTAATACATGGCTTGTCTGAGCTAAAATGGCTGCTCTGTCTCTCCCTCTCCCCCTCTACCTCTCTCCCTCCTAAAGCTCATAGGACTAGGACAGCTTAGTGAGTCTTAAAGCGTCAGTGACGCAGGAGCTCATATCTCTTGAAAGTGTGATAAACACATTCAGAGAGCTGTGGCTTGTTTGACTTAGATGAAAAGACTACGCTGGGGGAGGAAGTTTAAGAAGATGGACAGTGAGAAGATCCGTTTCATTATTCTCTCTCCTGCTTTTTCCTCTGGAGCATTCTGAATTCAAGAGTCGTCTGCTGCACCATGGCAAAAGGGGTGGGGGGGAGAGAGAAAGAGATTGTTTTCAGGTCTAATGGACTGTGCAAAAGGAGACTTATGGGGTGGGGCCTCTGTGTTCACTGCTGTAATTTGATCCAGAGCAGATAGCAACCTCTTCCACACAGTCTGGTCTGGTGCTTGCACATAAAAGATTTTGAGTCTCCTGATTCTTGTTAACATTGTTAGCTGAAAAGAAGGTTGGGCCAGCTTTTAGTCTTTCAGTGCAAAGAGGAAGGTGAAATGGGGCACCAAGATATATTGCAGTGGATGTGCGTTTCTGCTCAGTATGCCCACATTTTTAAAGCCATGGCACTGAGAGGAATTTTCTTCTGATGCAGGATCCTGGCATCACTGCTTTTTCTTTGTAATACGGATGGGAGACCGTTCAGCTTTGAACATTTGATAAACATAACCTCATATTTACATGACAATGAGAAGATGGGATTTTCCTCAAAGCTTATTTGGGCTGCTGTTCCATCTCTTGGTCTGGTGGAGCTCCTAGACTAAATACGACCTGAATTGTGTGAGGAGACTTTAAAATAAGCAGCTCATTAAGGTAATAGCTGCTGGATTAGTCAAAGCTAGCATACAGTTGCTGTATGAAAATAAGTAGGTATCTTGTCCTAGTCTGCTACATATTTTCAGCTTATTCAATGATAATTTCTTAGAAGCATAGAAACTATAGAATTTATCAAGTATTTATTCAACATACTTAAAATCATGGGGTCTGAAATACTGGGAGAAATACATGTTTATATATATATATTTATCTTGCTAAAGTTCCTTTTCCGTTATTGAAGGAGGTCTAGATGCTGTTAGGCTATCATTTTTTTAATCTTGCAGACTTGGAATTTCACAATTTTGGCCTACATGTTTGGAAAGCTCTCGAGAGAGGTTACATAAAACAACGTTCAGTAATAGCTGGTAATATCAAATGTGGTAATCTTGGAAAGAGAAATAGCTTTAAAGCTTTTTGGTTAAAAGTTTGGACATAGTGGAAGGGAAGGTGACTGTACCAACTCAAGCTAGTTGAACTTAAACAAGTTGCAGTTGTCATCCTAACCCACAGGGTTGTTAAGAAGGTTAAAATTGGATAAGATATAACATGTGTGCCACATAAGCTTGGAGGAAGCATGGGATTAAATGTCTTAAGTAAATAATCTGCTTGGCTTTCTAAAACTTTTTCAACAATAGTTCCCATGCATTTTATTGTTGATGGCTTTCCAACATATGCTTCCTTGTTCTTTGGAATTGGATTGGTGAACAGGTAAAGTGAGAGTAGCAGAGGCAATTGGGCAAGACTTCTGCACATAGTAACTATGAGTCATGTAGTTGAATGTATCAAGTACGTTAGGTTCCAGATTTCTGTTTTAAAAAAAAATGTTACCATTCCTCTGTATGCTGTACTTCTTGTGCTTGGAGAATATTTCTTTTCCTATATTTGCTCAAGACTGAATCTGGTGCTGTATCAGTTTTCTGAACTTTTCTTAGGCAATATGTTTCTTCTCCATCTCTTTCAGGTTTTCCTAATGTAAAGCTTAGCAACAAAGATCATGGAGGTGCTGCAGTGTGACGGCTGTGATTTTCGAGCACCTTCCTATGAAGATCTTAAAGCTCACATCCAGGATGTTCATACTGCATTTCTACAGCCCACAGATGTTGCTGAAGAAACTCCTAGCCCATCCAGATTCGGTTCCATGAACAGTGACCAGGCTGAGGTGGAGTATTCTTTGGTAAAAGATGAATTTGCAGTGGCAGATGGGATGGCAGGTAACTTTCTATTTGGAACGTCATTCTGAGAAGTGATCCCATTGCAGCATTCTCACGTTACCATCCTATTCACCATATCTGGATCTTATGACAGATAAAAATAACCAGGAATTGCCTTGCAGGACAACCACTACCTCTGTTATTCATATTCAACAGGAAGCAACTGTATCCAATGGCTGAGAATGTAGATTCCAAGAAGTTTCAAGCAATCTGTTATTTGGTTATTAAGGGTTGTTTGAAAAAGGGAAAAATAGCCACATATGATGGGTTGAGTCTCAGTGCTGCTAAGTTTTTGATCAGATTTTTTTTTCTTTTGTTACATTCAGAATTTATAACACAATGTCTAAAAAGCTATTTGTACATGAAACTCATAGTATGCATGTATTTCAAGATACGTGTTTTATGGAACAACTTTAATAGTTTATCTGGTTGCTAGCAGCCTTTTGTTGCTAACAATACTTGAGGTGTGTATGAGTGAGTGTCTCTGTATGTGTGTTTATGCCTAAATTGCACTGGAATTTTTTCATACTATTGTTAACTGGTAATTGGGGGCACGGGATGGTTAAATTATTTAGAAATAGTACATATGAATTCAGCACACTATAAGTAACATTAAAAATGTGTATCTGTATGAATTAAAATTTACATTTCAATTTCAGTTGTACTTGTATTACTAACTTTCCCTAGAAGGCAGTTGTAAAGGATAAGGGTGGTGGTGGTGGTTGTTTTTGACATCCTATCCAGTATTTATGAACCAAGTACTTGGAAACAGGGCTTTGAAGGGAAAAAAGAAGGGGAAAAAACAGGCACTGTAATGTGTACTTCACAGATAATGTTTACTATTTCTTTTCTTTTTTAGGGCAAAATGCAGTTCAGCTGGGGACTGGCAATTACTATAGCCATAGCCAGGGTTATTATGGCCAACATATGCTCTCCAAATCAGCAAGCAAGTTTTTCCAGTGTAAATACTGTGTGCGTTATTTCCGATCCAAAAACCTTCTCATAGAACATACCCGGAAAGTCCATGGTGCTCAAACTGGAAGCTCTCCAACTGGATCCTCAAGTGCTGGTTCCTTAAACTACAACATCATGATGCACGAGGGCTTTGGGAAGGTATTTTCGTGCCAGTTCTGCACTTACAAATCTCCAAGACGTGCACGGATTATAAAACATCAGAAGATGTACCACAAAAACAGCCTGAAGGAGAGTTCGACCCCTCCTGCTTCTTCGGCTGCTATATCTGAATCAGCTTCTGCTTCTGTCTCAATGCAAGATTCATGCAAGGAGCTTCCGGCTGAAGTTGTTGAGCGTAGTATTTTGGAGTCTATGGTCAAGCCTTTAACCAAATCAAGAGGCAATTTCTGCTGTGAATGGTGTAGCTACCAGACACCCCGAAGGGAACGTTGGTGTGATCATATGATGAAGAAGCACCGAAGCATGGTGAAAATACTGTCAAACCTGAGGCAACAGGATGGGACCAATATGTCAGATGTTGTAAACAAGAATCCCCCAAGCCCTCCCCCAAACTCTAACTATATACCCATGAATGCTTCTGGGCGAGAGATGCCTAACGCAACTGTCCCAAACTACAGGAGTTCGGTAAACAATTCTCTCATCAGGTCCAACACCTCTTCAAAATTTTCCTCTGCTTCCTACCCTCAGATGAAACATAAGACTCCTCACAACTCAGGCATTGTTAATTTGTCTGACAGATCTCGTTACGGAGTTGGTGACATGGCAAATTCTACTGACCTGGATACCAACAGTATGCTGAATGACTCCAGTTCGGATGATGAGCTCAATGAACTAGACAGCGAGAATGGGTTGAACTCTATGGATCACCAAAGCTCGGGACTCACTGCTGAGCAGCTGATGGGATCTGAGGGCCACAAGTTACTGGAAACCAAGGGGATCCCCTTTAGAAGATTTATGAATAGGTTCCAGTGTCCTTTCTGTCCTTTCCTCACCATGCATCGGCGAAGCATTTCTCGCCACATTGAAAACATCCATCTCTCTGGAAAGACGGCAGTCTACAAGTGTGATGAATGTCCTTTCACCTGCAAGAGCTCTTTTAAACTTGGTGCTCATAAGCAGTGTCATACTGGTGCAGCATCCGACTGGGATGCCGTGAACTCCCAAACTGAAAGTATAGCTTCTTCTTTAAATGAAAGTACAGTATCCTATGAAGGGGGAAATATAAACGGCAGGAAGTCCGGGGGGATCATGGATTCCATGCAGCAGCAGCAACAATCTCCGCAGTCCAATTCGCAGCATCCGTATAAATGCACCATGTGCAATTATTCTACAACGACTTTGAAAGGTCTCCGGGTTCATCAGCAGCACAAGCACTCGTTTTGCGATAACTTGCCAAAATACGAGAGCCCATCAGCAAATGCCCTGCAAGACAGTGAGCCCGATGCTCATGCTTCTCCCAGCACTGTGAAGAAAAGCCAGACCTCAATTCTTGGACTGTCTTCTAAAAACAACTTTGTAGCAAAAGCCTCTAGAAAGATGTCCAATGACTTTCCTCTAGATCTGTCCCCGGTGAAGAAAAGAACCAGAATTGACGAGATTGCCAGTAATTTGCAAAGCAAAATCAATCAGAACAAGCAGCAAGAAGATGCAGTCATTAATGTAGAGGATGATGAAGAGGAAGAGGATGACAATGAAGTGGAAATAGAAGTAGAACTGGACAAGGAAGAAGAACAAACAGAACCACTGCTGGAAATAGCGGCATTTGCTTCCCAGCAAATATGGGGAAGAGACACAGGAGATCCTCAGAAAGAGCCCAGCTACAGGAATATCCCCCATGATTACAGCTCCACGAATGGGGCAGAAATTGAGCTAACTATATCTGAGGATGAGGAAGAATATTATTGTTCTTCGGTGGGTTTGAAGGATCCAGGACTGAATTCATCTATTCTGGGCAGCCAGGCAAGCCTATATGGATCTGATCAGAACAATGAGAATTCAGATTTTGGTGATTCTGGAAGGCTTTACTATTGTAAACACTGTGATTTCAGCAACAAATCTGCCAGGAGTGTTAGCACTCATTACCAACGGATGCATCCCTACATTAAGTTCAGCTTTAGGTATATCCTTGATCCCAACGACCACAGTGCAGTGTATAGGTGTCTTGAATGTTACATTGATTATACAAACTTTGAAGATCTGCAACAGCATTATGGTGAGCATCACCCAGAAGCCATGAATGTATTAAATTTTGACCACTCTGATTTGATCTATCGCTGTCGCTTCTGCTCTTACACCAGCCCAAATGTTAGGAGCCTCATGCCGCACTACCAAAGAATGCATCCAACAGTTAAAATTAACAATGCAATGATATTCTCAAGTTACGTAGTGGAGCAACAAGAAGGGTTAAGCTCAGAATCACAAACGCTGAGAGAGATACTGAACTCTGCTCCAAAAAACCTGACCACTTCAACCCCAGTTGCACGTGGGGCTTGTGGCATAGCGGTGGCTTACAACAAAAGTTCTTCAAAGGACAATAGCCCCGAATCTGAAAGCCAAAAAGAGTCAGCAGTCAACAGTGTTGTAGTTTATGACTGTGATGTCTGCTCCTTTGCAAGTCCCAACATGCATTCTGTCTTGGTGCATTATCAGAAGAAACATCCTGAAGAGAAGGCTTCGTATTTTAGGATTCAAAAAACGATGCGTCTGGTATCAGTAGAGAGGGGCTCTGCCCTGGCTCAGATGGCTTATGAACTAGGGTCACCTGGCTCTCCCAAAATGTCACCGCTACCACCTCCGCCACCTCCGGACCTCACCACGGAGCTTTACTACTGCAAACATTGTTCTTACAGCAATCGGTCAGTGGTTGGGGTACTAGTACACTACCAGAAAAGGCACCCAGAGATAAAAGTGACTGCCAAATACATTAGGCAGGCACCCCCAACTGCAGCAATGATGAGAGCTGGAGAGTTACCTCCTGGTGTTCATAGACCTACAGTTTCTATGCAGCAGCTGAATAGGAACAGCTCTGATGGTATTGTAGCTCCAGCAGAGAACGAGATGTTCTTCTGCCAGCACTGTGATTATGGAAACCGGACTGTAAAAGGGGTCCTTATTCATTACCAAAAGAAGCATCGCGATTTCAAAGCCAATGCGGATGTGATTAGGCAGCACACTGCCACCATCAGGAGCCTCTGTGACCGGGGTCAGAAAAATTCCCCTGGTGGCTTACAAATTCCTACTTCTGGTTCTGAGCAAGAAAGGGCTAAATTGAGAGCTCTCAAATGCAGGCAGTGCTCTTATACATCTCCTTATTTCTATGCACTGCGGAAGCACATTAAAAAGGACCACCCAAGCTTGAAGGCCACTGTCACATCTATTTTGAGATGGGCATTTTTGGATGGTTTAATAGAAGCTGGATATCACTGTGAATGGTGTATCTATTCCCACGCAGAACCCAGTGGCCTGCTTGTGCATTACCAAAGGCGACATCCTGAACATTATGTTGATTATACATATATGGCAACAAAACTCTGGGCAGGGCCAGATCCTTCACCTCCAGCCTTACTAATACCATCAGAAATGAAAACCTATAGATGCAGAGATTGTATTTTTGAAGCTTCTTCCATCTGGGATATCACTAATCACTACCAAGCTTTTCATCCTTGGGCTATGAATGGAGATGAATCAGTGTTACTAGATATTATCAAGGAAAAAGATGCTGTTGATAAAATGAACCCAGTATCTGATGGTCTTGGTGCCAGAATAATTTCAGAGGATCAGTTAGCATTACCACAAGGGGATCTGGACACGGAATATGCAGAAGAGTCAACGCTTTCCCAAGATAAAGCTCTCCAGCTCACCTCTGTGAACCCTGCAATATCTTCTACACCATACCAGTGTACAGTGTGCCAGTCTGAATATAATAATTTGCATGGACTTCTCACCCATTATGGAAAAAAACATCCTGGGATGAAAGTTAAAGCTGCAGATTTTGCACAAGACATTGATATTAATCCGGGAGCGGTGTACAAATGTAGGCATTGTCCTTACATTAACACACGCATTCATGGTGTTCTTACACATTACCAGAAGAGACATCCTTCAGTGAAGGTCACGGCAGAAGATTTTGTGCATGATGTGGAGCAACCTGCTGATATGAGCCAGAACGACGTGGAGGAAACCAGCAGAATTTTCAAGCAAGGGTATGGTGCTTACAGGTGTAAATTGTGCCCGTACACACATGGCACTTTGGAGAAGCTCAAAATTCATTATGAGAAATACCATAACCAGCCTGAATTTGATGTATTTGCACAGTCTCCTCCGAAATTCCCTGCCTCCATGGAGCCCGAAGTTCTCGCTGAAATTAAGCCCTCTCCTGAGATGGCTCCAGAAGATCTCCTTGGAGATGATTCACTACCATCTTCCCACTTCTCCAGTTCCCATTTGGTTTCTCATACTGTATTCCGTTGTCAGCTTTGTAAGTATTTTTGCTCTACCCGGAAAGGGATAGCAAGGCACTACCGAATAAAACACAACAATGTTCGGGCACAGCCAGAAGGCAAGAACAACCTGTTTAAATGTGCCCTGTGTTCCTACACAAACCCTATTCGTAAAGGTCTGGCTGCACATTACCAGAAGCGGCATGACATCGATGCTTACTACACGCATTGCTTAGCAGCCTCAAGGACTATAAGCGACAAACCCAACAAAGTGATCATTCCCTCGCCCCCCAAGGAGGACTCTCCTCAGCTAAGCGAGGAGCTGAGAAGGGCGGTGGAGAAGAAGAAATGCTCCCTCTGCTCCTTCCAGTCCTTCAGCAAAAAAGGCATAGTCTCTCACTACATGAAACGCCATCCTGGAGTATTCCCCAAGAAACAGCATGCCAGCAAGCTTGGGGGTTACTTCACGGCGGTGTACGCGGACGAGTATGAAAAGCCGCAACCTCCCCCAGAAGAGAGGAATGATTTTGAGAAGCCTGAATTGGAGGTGGAAGCTCCAGAGATGGAGTGGCTTCCTTTCCGGTGCGTCAAGTGCTTTAAGCTCTCCTTCAGCACGGCCGAGCTGCTCTGCATGCATTACACTGACCACCACAGCAAGGACTTGAAGAGGGATTTTACCATCCTGGGAAGTGGGACCCGTTTCCAGTGCAAGCACTGTGACAGTAAGCTGCATAGCCTGGCAGAGCTGACCACGCACTTGAATGGCCACAATGAGGAATTCCAGAAACGTGCCAAACGCCAAGAGAGGAGGAAGCAGCTTCTGAGCAAGCAAAAATATGCGGATGGTGCTTTTGTAGACTTCAAAGCAGAGAGGGTAAGGATCTGACTTTACATTGCTTTTTCCTGTTGGATATTTCTCCTTCCTCTCTACCCTCCCCGCTCTCCCAAGTTTACTTATTTCTTATTATTGCCCTTGGTAACTGGAAAGCTACAGGCTCTATAGTCGTAGGGTTGTGCCAGTAAGTTCCGTGCCTCTTGTGTCCATGTTTCATTTCTTTCCTCCTTTAGACTCCTGGCATGCCGTTTCATTTCCTCCTTTCCTAACTTTTCATTTTCAAAGTTAATTTCTCTTTGAATAAGAAATTCGTTGTTCTTCTTCCTATCTCTTCCTACCTGTCCCCATGTCAAATGTATTTCTTGTTTGTGACCAAAAATATCAAGAATGCAAGGAAATAATTGAGAAGAAAGTCCAGTGTAAAGCCCTTTGTATCGGTGGATGTAAACCAGGGGTCTTCAAACTTGGCCCTTTTATGACTCGTGGACTTCAACTCCCAGAATTCCTCAGCCAGGCACGCTGGCTGAGGAATTCTGGGAGTTGAAGTCCATGAGTCATAAAAGGGCCAAGTTTGAAGACCCCTGATGTAAACTAATATCTCTAAATGAACTGCCTATTAAATCTTTAGTTTGCTTGATGATGGAAGTGGAAGATGTGCCTCTTTTGGAAGTAGTCAATTAAGAGCGAATGTCATGTGAAAATAAAACTTGCTCTTAATGGCATTCTCTCATACCCAGAGGTATTTCACAAAAGTTGGTGGTAGAGAGAAAAGGGAAATGATAAATGCATCTCATTGGATCAAAAGCTACCTTCTGGTTTTGCAGGGGAATAATTTACAAGTGGAATTCCAGTGGAATAAAGTCTTGAGACTGATTTGTCAAATTAATGGGAATCTAAACACTGAATATTTTTGGTGAGGGAAGAAATAAGAATATGGCAGATTACAAAAATGATAATGATGGTTCAGCATTCTGGAAAAAGGATCAGAATGATCAAAACAGGGAAGTTAGGAAAAACTTAATGGCAAGAGATTGTGCTTGATTTGAATGATTTAGCGTTTAACAGTTTTAGAGCAAATTCAGTCACACATCGGAATATCTAAAATTTGTCTGAAATGTGTATTATTAGCTATTAGCTCTCATCCTTCAGGTGCAAAAGATTCACCTTATTTTGAAAATCATACTTTTTAAAAAAATCTTCTTCTCTTTGGTACTTCCTTTGACCAAGCTGGTTGACATTTAAATAATTGGGAACTGTACCCCAGCAGATACAGAGAGCACCAGATTAAGGGAGACTTCTGTGAATGATTTTATTAAAAAAAAAAAAATCCTTATGAAGGACATACAAATTCTCTATTAAATTTTGTGGTGCTTGCAGGTGCTCACAAGCAGAATTCCTAGAGTTGCTTCCCATAGAGCAGTGGTTCTCAACCATTTGGGGTCGAACGACTATTTCACGGGGGTCGCCAAACAACGCAGTCCGCCATTTTTTCCCCCTTTTCCTTAGCTGTGCTACTCCCTTTTATTCTATTGGCTTTTGAAAGCCAATAGAATAGACTCTCTTGAATAGAGTCTAATTCTATTGGCTTTCAAAAGCCAATAGGAATTGTCCAGGCTGTCTCTGCCCTGCTGAGCCCGCCAAAAGTCCCATTCTGCAAACAGTGCTGCACCAGTTGATTAGTCCTCGACTTACGACCGGTTGGGGGTCGCGGCATTAAAAAGGTTGAGAGCCACTGCCATAGAGAAAGACATGAATGTCCTGTTTAGCATAGCTACAGCTAAAAAGATGCTATTTGAGTGAGGGAAAACTCGATTTATGTTTTGATTTTCTTTCTGTATACAAACTCAAGGTTTTGCCATCACATTTAGCATTGCTAGTAGAAGAATGCTGCAGACTGAAGTTAAGATTTTCTACATGGCCCAAGGGTTTGAATCAATATTATAACAGCACGCTGTATCTATTTTGTGACTTTTAAATGTTAGTTTTTAAAAATAAACTCAGGCCACCTCAAGAGTTTTACTTATTCCAAGAAGCCAAATGTTTCCTCTCGTTGTATTTAAATCTACAAATTTCTGACATTGTTTAGAGCCGTGTTTTCAACGTTGGCAGCTTTAAAGATGGGTGGATTTCAACTCCCAGAAATTCCCAGGCAGCCACACGAGCTAGGGAATTCTGGGAGCTGAAATTCCACAGGTTTTCAAGTTGCCCAAGGATGAGAAATGCTTGCTTAGAGATGGAATGCTTGATTAAGTTTCGAGTTTTATTTCCCTACAGCCTTTTGGCAGCTTGGAAGAAGTTTCAAAATTGAAAGAGAGAAAGGTGGTAGGATACAAATGTAAGTTCTGTGTCGAAGTTCACCCAACCCTTCGAGCCATCTGCAATCATCTTCGTAAGCATGTCCAGTACGGGAATGGTTCCTCAGTGTCTACTGGAGTCAAGGTGAGTTTAAGGGCTTGTTTTGGGGTTAAATGCTTGGATTCATCCAAAGAGGAAGAAATCCCTAACCGCTTTTGTGGATCAGACACCACAATCCAGAAATAAATATCAGCATTTATAACATGATTTTTAATGTAGCTTTCTTTCCTTCTTTTTATTGGACATAAAACCTAGTTCCTTGTGGGCAGAATATGATGCACCCATATTAATGTTATTATAACACAACAGTGTGAAATCATACCTGCCCGTTGTTTGCTGGTGTTGACCTTCCTAGTCAAATTTTTCCCAAGAATTTAGGTTGTCCTAATGCATCAGCATAGCACATGTGTGGATCCAAACAGTGTAGGCCTTTGTAACTGCGGCTGGAAATTTTGTCAACGTGTAGATTTTCTTAAGTGCCACCCCCAATTTTTTGATACGGCACCTTTTGCGCCAATATCCAGTGGGACCTCCATGACTGATTTATGCCATAATCTTTTAACTTTTAATTTTCAGTTTGGGATATTTTGCAATCTTCTCCAATTCTTTATCTTCCAATTATGTCTCCTAGAATTGCCACATCAGTTATCCACACTTCCCTTTCGACCCCGGTTAAATCTGGTGTGTTATGAGCCAAGACTATCAGTCTGTATTCTGAAAAGTCACAATATTTTAACCTGCTCATTTTCACCTACTTTCTTAACTCTTAACGTTCCCACCAGTATTTCATTACTGACACAGATTTTCTAGTGAATCATTTTGGTGATTATGTTATGTCCTTGTTTATAATCAGTTTGTGTGAACTTCAACAAGCTGAGGATCTGCTCTTTTGCTTCTTTGCCCAATCTGCGCTTTGAATCATTTGATGATTTTTTTGTTTCCAATTCTGGCCTTGATTTGCATCAGTTTGGATAACTCACTCCTGATATTATTAGCTATGTACAACAATGTGAAGTCAGTGCTGCCAATTCTTTAGCTAGTGTTGGCTTTCATATGCATTAAGTTCTTCCCAAGAATCTAGGATGTTGTAATGTATCTGAGTAGCATATTTCCGGATCCAAGCATTATTATTACAGGTAGTCCTTAACTTACAACAGTTCATTTAGCAACTATTCTAAGTTCCAATGGCATTGAAAAAAGTGACATATATAAAAAAGTATGATAAAAAAATATCCCATGTTCTAAAATAAACTGAGTCTTCTTTCTCTTTCATTTTCAATGTCAATCTATCCATTTTTGTACACTCTAAGATTTTTTTTTAATTAACGCTTCCTCTGCTGGTAGACCTTCATTTTTCCAATATTAGTGAATACAATTCTTGCTGCAGTTAATATATGTAAAATTAAATATATACACTCTTTGTAGTAATTACCTACAAAAAGTGACTTATGACCATTTTTTGCACTTAAGACTGTGGCAGCATCCCCATGGTTACACGATCAAAATTCAGACGCTTGGCAACTGACTCATATTTACGACAGTTGCAGTATCCCAGAGTCGTGTAATCACTTTTTACGATCTTCTTACAAGCAAAATCAATGGGGAAGCTTCCTTAACAACCCTGTTACTAACTTAGCAACTTCAGTGATTGACTTAACAAAAGTGGCAAGAAAAATCATAACATGGGCCAAAATTCACTTAACAACTGTCTCACTTAGCAACCCAAATTTTGGGCTCAATTCTGGTCGTTGTACTACCTGTATTAAACTTGTACGCTGCCTGACAGTCAACAACCCTGGGCGGCTTACAACAAATAGACCTGCTCAATAGTTATTGGTCTTTTGTGGAACCTTGAGAAAAGATTTGAGCTAACATCTCTAAAGCTTGGAAGTTCTTGGTATATGCTGCTTTAGGATTCTTTGTTTTGAACTACTTTCTGTCTTCTAAAAAGGAGCTGTTTGCTTCCTTTTATACGAGAAGCAATTCTTGAGTATTACATGTAAAACCTCAGAAGACAGAAGAACTGCTGCCCAAAGTTTCCACGGACAAGGCTGAAGTCGTGGTGGCTTCCATAGCTTTCTTCCCGTGTTTTATTTTTAAGGAAATGTTTTGTTATATAATGATACGCATTTCTGTTTAGAACGTTACTGCCTGCTGTGCATTTATTTATATAAAATTCTTCATAGCTATAAATTATGAAAAAGTATCGAATCAAGGCCTGCTTATCCATTGGGCATATTTTCTACATAATTCACCTGTAATTGCTGCAAAACATGAACTTCTGTTTTTAATTCAGACTATACTCACTCTTAAAGTTAAATTTACTGTAGCTTTCATTTAGAGATAACTTCTTTAATTAAATCTTGGTATGAGATATGTTAGTACAATAAATTAAACTTGCTGCAAATGGCCCCTTATTTGCATTCTGTTATGTGTCCTATCTTTTTACGAATAACATGCTATTTCATGGGAAAACGCTCATTCTACAAATGTGGCAGTAAATATTTTATACAAATTTATTTCCTTCCCAAGTTGTTACAGGCCATGACCAGAGCTTATATGCCTTCTGGTAATGGTGGTTAGTAAACCATCTGTGGATCTTTATTTAAGGCTGACAGATTGATATATTCTATAAATTAATGCAAATAAGCTGAACATGCCCAGTAGGTGAGACATAATGAATACTATGTAGTCTTTTTTGATATTTTTCTTATCCCTGCTCACCCCCACCCCCCAAATTAAATCTATATTATTTTATTCAAGCTTGGATTTTTTTTTTGAACAGATCTATAGAAGCCAGTATATAGTTGCCAGTTAAATAGTTTGAAAAATATTTGTTTGGGCAAATCTGCAAAAAAAAAAATTGAATGCTTATAGCAGGGGTCTTCAAACTTGGCCCTTTTATGACTCATGGACTTCAACTCCCAGAATTCCTCAGCCAGCATGCCTGGCCGAGGAATTCTGGGAGTTGAAGTCCATGAGTCATTAAAGGGCCAAGTTTGAAGACACCTGGCTTATAGTGTAGTGTCTAGGAAGCCAAAAGAAGGTGAGATAACATTCCAACAATCTTATATAAGGAATATTGGCATTTCCTCAAAACTGGGGCATTTCTACCTAATGAAGTGAATTATTCTGAAAAAAAGAGAAGGTTTTAGCAACAGAGTGTGCTCCAGCCATGCTGATCACCACTAATGGAACAGCCATATGTCGCTTCCAAAGACATCTTCACTCAGATTGCATAACTGGGTTTTAAGATTTACTACTACCGGAAGAAATTGTTAGGCATCCATAGATATAATGGTAACCATAGGGCAGAAGGGAGAGAGAATTGATGGCTTTGGGGGGGATGTGTGTCTTTTAGCAGGAAGCTGAAGATCCTTCACATGCAGCTTTCTTGGAGGGTGTTGAGGGAGCCAAAGACCATATGGCCACTATGGAACTTGCAGAAGCTGAATCTGGACCATCACTGGAGGATGAAACCAGACCTGGTGGCTACCATTGCAGCCAGTGTGATCGGGTTTTGATGTCTATGCAGGGTCTACGGTCGCACGAGAGGAGTCACTTGGCACTGGCCATGTTTACTCGCGAAGACAAGTACAGCTGCCAGTACTGTTCCTTTGTTTCTGCATTCAGGCACAAGTAAGTTTGCGTTACTTACTATTTCTGATTCCTAATGTTCATTTGCCTACATTCAGAAGACCATACAGATGTACTCAAACCAAAGCAAATGTTCTTATTTTCTCTATGTATTAGTTTTACTGTATGGTTCTCAACTAATATCAAAGATACCTATGTATGGATCACAGTAAGCCCCCAGTAATTCTTAATCAGCAGTTATTTTGGCTTTTCAACCCTTGAACCAGCCAAAATTACATTGTAGAAATATAGAAATTGAAATGTAAGCCCCATAAATCCTAGATTTTCAGTTGTAAATGGAAATCTATGTTGAAACCAGCTCATGCATTTCAGTGATTTTTTTTTAATTGTGAATTTATAAATGTTGTGGGTCTATAACCCTCAATTTCTTACAAGCTAGATAAGAGATTGGATCAACCAGTCTGTTCCGTAGAGGTTGTACAATGTAAGGTGTAGAAATGGAAAGTAAAACCAAACTTTTTCACTCCCCCTCCACAGAACTAAGTTTATTTAGGCCTGCTATGTTAAACTTTGACCTCTGTTGGATTTCTGCATTCCTCCTGTGGATAAGTCCATGTTTTTTCCCCTGCTTGGTTTTCTTGATACTGTCAATTGTCCTTTGTCTGCTGAAAACAAACTCCAGGAACACAGGAACAAAGTGACCAACAAGAGTTTAATGCAGGCAAAATGAAAGTCAGCACTGGGAGTGGTTTGCTCCAAGTGCCTTACATAGACGTGCCCTGCCCTCCAAACCCACCCCAATCAGCAAGCCAGCATCCGGTCCATGCAGGTAAAAGCCGCAGTTCAATTTCCGACACCCACCCCCTCCGGACATATCACTGTAGCCATTCCTCTGTCAGGTGCCCTCTCTGGGCCACATGGCCTCGGCAGGACCAGCTGTCCTACTCGACAACCATTCACTGTCCAGCTGCCTCACCCGGCAACCAGCTTTCTTCCCCCAGCCGTCGACGTTGCTCCGCAGTGTGTGAGAGCGTCAGGCAGCCCTTCCAGAGCTCAGCAACTTCGCGCGGCAGCCAGCATCCTCCCCGGCCACCGACAGTGCGTCAGGCAAAGTTCCCAACGCCCAGCTGTTAGGCGCCATAGCCGGCTCCCTCCTCAGTTTTCAGCAACAAGGAAGAGGCGGCCATGGGAGAAGCGGCCCCTATGACGCCAGCTGGCCCGTCTCCGACGCCCAGCTGGCCTTTGGGTTTCGAGCGGCACACGGGGGTCGTCTGCAGGTGGTGCACGGATGTCGGTTGCTTGGCTTCAGCTGGCTGCTCCGTTCCTCCCCCCCCCCACCAGTTCGTGTGGAGCCCAGGGGCTTGACAGATACTTGATACTTGCTAGAAAAACTATTGATAAGTGAACGTATTATTGATAGGTAAATTGACTGGATCAGAATTGTGAATGCCTGTAAAACATTTTTGCAATTTCACACTAGACGCAGGGGTAGGCAACCTTGGCTCTTTTATGACTCGTGGACTTCAACTCCCAAAATTCTTCAGCTAGCTATGCTGGCTCAGGAATTCTGGGAGTTGAAATCCATGAGTCACAAAAGAGCCAAGATTGCCTACCCCTGCACTAGAGTATTACAAAAATGTATGACAGAAAAAATTAAAGATAATTCTCCACTAGGAATCTTTCCCCTCATTCTATTTCTGTGGTATGTCACCACTGAGTTGTCTGTGCTGGAAATCCCTTCTTGCCTTTCTGTTTTCCTATTCTTTATGGAAAACACTGGTCAGCGCACTTGTATTGTACTCCAGGTGCAGCTGATGAAGCAAAACAAGGCAGCCATGGTGAAGCTATAATTTTAAACATACTTACTCATAAGGTCATATCAACAAAATGCAAACTTCTGAGTAAGCAGGCTTAAGATCAGGCTTTAGAAAACAGTAGGAACCAAAAAGCTGAATTCTTATCTTGCCCTCCAAAGGGGGGAGGGGAGGGAATATACTAAAAGATAATCTTATGTTTTATCTAAAAAGAAATTAAATAAATTAATCTGTTTCTTTAAATTAAACTGAAGTTATTTAGAGACACACCTCCCCTTATACATAGTAATGGTGAAAAAAATACTATACATTGTGACATTTGAAGATGCCAAGAAATAAGGAAGAGAATGCAAAAGTGAGTTACGCTTATCAACATGTACAGGTGTATCCCTTGAAAAAGTCATAGAACAGTCATCTTTTACAAGAGAAATTCAAGTTTGTCTGCATTTAGATGAGAATTAGAAAGCAGGGAGAGAAAACACAGTCTGCTTGTGTTTGTGCTGCTTCCTTTACTGCATTTCTTTTTAACATCCCAAATAATCTAAAGCAGGAATGTCCACACTTGGCAATTTTAAGACTGGTGGACTTCAACTCCCAGAATTCCCCAGCTGGCTGAGGAATTCTGGAAGTTAAAAGCCCACAGGTCTGAAAACTGCCAAAATTGGACATCCCTGATCTATAGTGTAACTTCATGTCTTTTACATTATGGAATTGGGTTTCTATGCAAAATAGCCTGATTTATAAGGTAAGGCAGACCCGGATTGAAGTAAAGGACTGTGACTGATTGACTGATTGTGATTGATTGATTACAGATGCATTTATGCCACTTGAGTCATCAAGCCGCTAAACAGCTCACCGCAATGTTATACATAATAAAACAAATGTACAAATTATAATTTTGTATTCATTACTAGCAAATAATTATAGGGCTCTGGTCATAAAACTATGTGACATAAAAATGAAAAGTCTTAAGAAACTAGTCATACATTTTTTTTCCTTTCTAATAGTTTCTGACAATAGGGTCTGGTTTGTTTTGTTTTGTTTTTGTTTTTTTCAAATCAACCAAGTGTTGATTCAGTGGTTGCAACAGGAATTGACCATGTGGGTTGAGAGATTGAATGATATGTCTAAGGTGGGATTAGAACTCATAGTTTTCTAGTTTCTAACCTAGTTCCTTAACCACTAGACCAAACTGGCTCTCCTTAAAAAACTCATTATAAACCCGCTCATGTCTCAGCCCTTTAAAAATGCAGGTCTTTTCATAGCTTTCAGAATGCCAGGGATGAGAGTATAGATAGATCTTGTGGGATGGTGTTCCAAGGAGGAAATATACTGGATTAGGAAGGAAATCTGTTTAAGGTAATGCAAATACGTTGTGTACTTCATTTGCTTTAGTTACATCAAAGGATCATAACTTTACTGCTTCAAATTTAGCTGTAAGCAGTAAGGTCTCAGATGAGAATGGAACAGGCAAGGGATGTTGGGATTTAGGTTGAGTATGGAGTTTAAGGAAACAAATGTAGTAATCTACAAACATGGGTAGTAAAAATGTACCAGTTGGAAGTGGGAGCTAATTAATACAAGTCTTTCAAGTTCATCTTGTCCACCTGTCAGTCTAGAGAAGTTCCTTCCTTGTTTAGGTTCTTCCATAAGCTCACAGAAATAAATGATGCATTGTTATTATCTAACAGGAAATGAAATATTGGATGGAGGTAAATAATCTCTAGGTCTGGCCCATTTGAAATCATGATAGTATTTACAGAATAATTTGTTTAAATAAAAATCTTTTAAGAACACAACGTTTATAATGCCATTAAGTTTGTAAATAGGCACTCAAGTTAAGCGTAAACTATTACAGTTGGGCTACAATTTTGAGGCAGAATTTCATTCTGTCAGCTTTGTCATTACCATCTGGAACCAAAACAAGGCAATCTTAACTATTACCAGGAAAAGCTTTCCATTTTAGGATATTTTCCTGGTACAGATAAAAATCTGAGATCCATCTAGTGAAGAGTTTTCTAAAGCTGTTAGGAACATGCAGAGTTTCCACCGTCAGAATGGTGGAGATGCTGCTCCTTGTAAGATCTTCCCAAATCCTTCAGTTTATAGAAAACTTGAGATCTTGCAGGTATCAGGACTGATGCAAATAATTATCCTTCAGCTTGTGTGGGAGACATATTGGTACAATCTGTGAAGATTTTCCCTACATGTTTTAGGGTACCCATATTTAATAAAAACAACAGCACTGCTTTGTTGCTATTTTCTGAGGAGATGTGATGGATGCAGTGTTAGTGTGGGTACTAGCTAGGATTCTTCAGGGTTCAGCCTTTCTGTCATCCATAGAAATGGATATACTTTGGTTCAAGGGCACTGTGCATTAGGGCCACACATTTCTAGAAAAGAATGTTTTAAAGATTTGAGAGAAGCATTGCCTTGAAGCTGCTTGTAAAGCAAGAAACCGTTTCTTATAAAGAGAAGTGACCGTGTTGTTCCAGATTGTTCCTCACTGCAGCCCTTCCTCAGCATCCTTCACCACTTGGGAAAGTCAGAAAAAGCTTCTGCATATAAGCTGCCCAGAAGCCTATTTTGGCGTATGCAAATACTGGAGAAGGCTAGAAGGAAACTGCAAGAGAATGTAATCCTCTTAGCTTTCTCCAACGCTGCTGATGTCATTTTCTGAGTTTGCAGCTGAGAAAAGCAAGATACAACAGGAAGGCTTCAAAGTGATGCCAAAAGCTTCCCTAATGCAGGTTATATTGCCTCCTTGCCCAAACAAAGAGGACATTGTCTCTGTGATGCACCTCTAGGTCATTTCCACAGGCCTACATTCTGGATAATACTCTTAGGCATAAAAGCCTGTGGGTGACTTCAGACCGTCATTCACTCTCGGCCTAACTCACCTCACAGGATTATTGTTCTGGAGAAAATCAGAGGCAAGGGCCTTGCGCGCGCGCGTGTTTGTGTGTGTCTAAAGATATGAACGGCTGCGGGACTTGGGTTTGGCTAGTCTAAAGAAAAGAAGAAATAGGGGAGATATGATAGCAGTATTCCAGTATCTGAGGGGCTGCCACAAGGAAGAGGGGGTCACGTTCATCAGAGCACCAGAGGGAAGGATAAGAAACAATGGTTGGGAGAAACTGATCAAAGAGAGAAGCAACCTAGAATTAAGGAGAAACTTCCTGGCAGTTCGGAAAATCAACCAATGGAACAGCTTGACTCCAGAAATCGTGGGCACTCCCATCACTGGAGATTTTAAAGAAGAGACTAGACAGTCACCCATCTGAGATGCTATAGGTTCTCCTGCTTAAGCAGAAGGCTGGACTAGAAGACCTCCAAGGTCCCTTCCAGCTCTATTCTACTATTCCAAAAGGTGAAGTAAAAATATAATAGTAACATTAATGATTATTATATTAATAACATTAATGATAATAATCCATAACTGCCATGCAGGCTCCCAATTTGTATTGTTTAGCTATTACTAGATTTTCCCCAGTTTCTTCTTTCTTGATAGCACCAGCTTCTTGTATTTTAGTCTTCCTGAGTCAGTCTTCTAGGAGAAGAGATTTATTTATTTATTTCTATTCACTTTGAATAGAAAAATGAGGCCACTAGGGGGCTAATTTTATGGGGAGACAGGGAAAGGATTTGCCATTTTGGTTCTTTTTAAAACAATTCTTTAAAAATATTCTAATTAAATTTAAAATTAAAGTCCTTCGGGCTCCATTTTATTATTTTTTTTTAAGTTCCTGGATTTCCTTTAGGATAAGTCTTCTACTAATATCTTAAAATAAAGTTTATTGTGGAAATTATACTCTCAATATTTTAGTAAGATAATTGGTTTGTTCATTCTTCAGTATTATTTCTTCATTAATATATTTCTCCAAGTTATGCATTAATCAAAATTATATTTTGTATTCTGTAGATTCAGTGAAAGGTAATAATGAAATAGTCAGGTTTTTAATGTTTTACTTACATTGTCACCTTAGTATTGATAAAAAGTTACATTATTTCCAATTTATCCTACCAAAGAATATATATATTAAAAAAAATGAGTGATAATACAGGAACAAAAATGCTAATCTTATTAGTGAATAAAGGGATTAAAATTAATTTGTAATTCACATGGTCAAATAAGTGTTTTGAGGATGTTAACCATACTTTTTTAAAGTAAAAAATATCCAAATTAGAAAACAGAAGTGCAGATGGTATTATAAAATAATGACTTTGATTCTGGGCTAAAATTAAACAGAAACAAGGTTGTGTAATTTCATATTTCATTTATTTGTTTGGCAACTGTTGTTAACAGTGATAACTGAAGAGAGCCAGCTGTGCATATGAAATATAATACTTGAATCAATTTTAGTGATCTGTTAATGAATTCTTTCTTAGTATTCTCTCTGGTCATTTGGTGGAATAGCTAAAAATTCAGAATGTTAAACTTCAAATATTTGTTCAGCCATAGTTTATTATATCTAACCTTAAATTGTAGTTAACCCTACCTTTTGTTTAGTGAAAATTAATGTAAAAAATTAACTTGTTATACCAGACATAAATACGATTAGTCCCAGTTTTCAGTTTGAACTAATGGTAAACTATCATTAAGTAAAAATACAAACTAGTATTTCCTATTTCTTTCCTCTGGCTATTATCATCTGAAGGACCCCAGAAAAGTGTTAGGTTTATATATACCTTTGGTTTTCTCCAACTTGGTGTTTTCCACTACAGCTGTCAAATAGTTTGAAAACTGGTTTCAGAATGTATGAAAGCACTTCTTTCAGGTGTGCGTTTTGCATTTTTTCCTCATTGAAGAGGTTGTGTCTGAAAGCATAGAGACAGCCAGGAGCAACTTGATGTGGCTGCTTTGAAAAGATGAGCTTCGGAGAGGCTTTGGGAAACTCTAAAACACACCTTTGAAAGGTTGTGCCCCCCCAAAAATAAAAAATTCCTGCTCTTCATTTTAGGTTAATCTTACCAACCATTCGGGTTGATGGCTGTTTTTATGAAATAATTTTAAATTACATTTTAATTGGTAAATTACATTAGTCTTATTTTACTTCTGTGTTGATCATTCTACCCAGCAGAGAATAATTAAAAGTACTGGGGATACTTTTCACCTGGGGGTGAAAATTTATAGCAAGGACATTTTTTTTAAACTGTTCAAATAGATAGCCAACAAGGAAACCAACTTCTCCCACATATTTGCATGACTTTTAGGAAATATGGCTTACTTTTGTTGGAATCAGTATCTTGAATGGATCTGTTTCATTCATATTCTGTTGGTGGCTCTCACAATCCTAATTTCATTTTAGTTATTCAGTTGTTTTCAATTAAATAGGAGTTGTGGATCTAGCACCCCTAGGCAAATGTCTTCTTTGGTGCAAAAATTCACAGCATTTTTTTCTCCTAGTAGGAAGCAGGAACTTCAACTGTCTGCTGAATATTTTTATTTCAGCTGAGAAAGACTGAAATATATGGACAATTGTTAGATGAAAAGAGAAGTACTTCATGCTATAGCATACTTAGAAAGAGGTTAGCTATTGAAAGTCACCTATCTACCTCTTCTCATAGTAGCAGTCATATTCAATTATGCAGGCTGCAGTCATATTCAACTATGCAGGCTATTAATAGAATTAAAAAAGTGAGTGCTTTCAACTTCTAAAATTTTGTGTGTGTAAACAGAGGCAAGGATTGGATAAATTCAATGGCATCTTTAGCCCTGGTACTTAGTGTGTGTGCTTCTGTGTAAGAAAAGGGGTATTGAGACAGCTGTGCATCTATGATCCTCGCCATCACCATCATCCCACACAAGATAATATTCTTTCTGAGTCTTAGGACAAATTACGAGAAGCTTGGTTTGAGAAACAGAACATATCTGCCTTCCTTGTCACACACCTTGCCTTTTGGCACAGCATTCCCTTGGAGATACACACAGTTGTCTCTCTCCTTGATTTCTTAAGACCTGGCTGTGTTTCTGGCTTGAAATTAAGGTGTTTGTAGAGCTCCTGTTTAGGTTTTTATTCCCCACCCCCCATTTTGGGAGTCTTGTTTTGGTCCAGACAGTGATGTGATTTTTAGTTATGTTTTTAATATATGCATTGGAGTTATGGTACAATGCCAAGAGTCATCTTAGAGTTGGGTGACCTTAACAGATCTAATAAATGAACAATAAACAGCTTCTCAGTTTAATCATTTTCACGTTATCAGAGCTGTAACTATAATGGTGGCGCAATGGTTAGAATGCAGCATTGCAGGCTAACTCTGCATTCCACTGCCAGGGGTTCGATCCTGACCTGCTCAAGATTGATTCAGCCTTCCATCCTTCCGAAGTCAATAAAACGAGGACCCAGATGGTTGGGGGGGGGGGAAATGCTGACTGTAAACCGCTGAGAGAGTCCTGTAAAGCACTATAAAACAGCGTATAAGTGCTATTGCCGTTGCTATAGTGGAGACAGAAGAAGTGGTTACCTTGAGTTTTGTGAGCTGAGACTTCAGTCAAAAAAGAAAAAGAAAAAAAAAGATGGACCTGGCCACAGACAGGTGTAGGACCAGTGCACATGGTCCCATGAGGAGAAGCTAATTTGACTAGGGAGCATATTGGATATAGGTGACCACTTTCTTCCTTTCCTCCTCAGCCCTTCAGAAGACTCATGTCCACTCTTCTGGCAGAGGTACAGTTGTGTGATACTTCTCCTTTTCTTCCTTCTTTCTGCCCTGAATTGCTATTGCTTGAGCTTTCTAACCCATCGAGGGGGGCACTGGAGAGATCTGGCTTAGGGGGCTAGTGGTGGTGACGGTATTAGATTAGGAGAGGAGAGACCAGTTTCTTGCCCACTCTCAGCTGCCTAAGCTCCCTGGTGACTTTGGGCCCATCATTCACGCTCTGTCCTACCTAGCACATGGTGATGCTGTTATAGGGAGAAATCGGAGGAGGGAGCTCTAGGGTACACTACCTTCAGCTCCTGAACAAAAGGCAGGATATAAATCCAATAAATAATAAATACTCATGCTCCTGCATCTCTTCCGTGAAAAGAAAATACATTTGTGCTGGTGCAGATGGTACAGTAAATGTCTTTAGCCGTCCCGTACTAGTTGAAATGATTGATATTTTTTGCTTCTTTCTTTCTTTTGCTTCCCATTGCTGCTTTTCTCCTACCAAGTTTGGATCGCCATATGCAAGCACACCACGGACATCACAAACCATTCCGCTGCAAACTCTGCCCTTTCAAGTCCTCCTACAATAGCCGGCTGAAAACTCACCTACTCAAAGTCCATGCTGGTAAGTCTCTTCCTGAGTTTCATAACAAGAAGGTCCCTTTACTCCCCCCCCCCTCACTGTTTTCTGCTGCTGTAGCCTCTTCAATTAACAGTAGCTTGCAGCCTTTAAAGTGAGCCTTGGGGCCAATTAGGGGAAAAGTGCTTAAGTTAAGCTAATTCTCCATTCAGCAGATCTTAAGCTGGAATTGAACCAACTGAGTTAGGTGATCCTAAATTAGACACAGGCTGGAACTTAATTCCAGAGCCATAATTAAACTTCTACTAGGGTGGAAACCAGGGCAAGAGGTTGAATTAAGAGCTTAGGCTGCAGCAGAACAGCCAGCCCCTTTGGATAGTAAATGTTAATCAGGTTGAAAGAAAAGAGCTGTGCCAAATGTTCATATTCAGATTAAGCGGTGTAATTTTACACTTTGTTTTGAGCCTAATCATAGCCATTGTTCCTTGTGTATTTTGTTGTTTGGCATAATTTTGTGTTTACGTTAACAATCTGCTTTTTTGTAACTCTGCAAATATCACATATTGAACACTTTTATAAGGACATGGACATACGATGTTGCTGTATGGTTCAGTGAGAATAAGCAACAAGAATGGCGTACACACTTTAATAGACATTTATGTACAGATCATCATGCTTAAATGTACATTTTGAAGCATGTGTATTCTAAGAAAACACATTCTGATCAAGAATCGCTATGTGTTATGTATTAACCCAAGGCATGCTAGGTGCTTTTCTTTTCCCCAGCAGACACTTTATGATTTTTGAATTAAAATGTGGGAAACCATGAATATTTTAATAAGTAATATTCCTGAAACTTCAATTTCTATAGTTTACCTAAATTCTAGTAAGTATTATAATGTGTAGTCTATTTAGTAAAGCATAGGGAAGTTAGATGAGTTTGTTAAATGAGAATTTAATCTGACAGTTACAATTTTGACCGTGTTCTTCACCAGAAACATAAATAACAATAGTTCAAAAATAATTAAGTACAGCCTGCCAATTCATTAGTTAATGGGCATACATTTCAAAATCTAGAACTTCAATAATAGCTGTGGGCTTCAAAATTAAAGTTACTGAAAAAGATACAAGTTTGTTAAAGCAAAGATGGTTCTCATTTAAAATAGTGTTACCAAATATTGGATAACGGTAGTTGCAAATATTATTTTTTATAGTTGTGTCTGTGATCGTTCTTGTAAGACTTAGTTCTTCAATAAGTACAGCGTAGTCTTTGATTGGCTGTCATGTTCTGTCCTATTATGAATTCATTTCTGATGAGCTTTGGTTTCATGTATCAATTAGTCCCAAAAATTGGGGGGAGGGTAGATTGGCCCCATTATTCAAGTTTCTGTACTGTATATAATTTTGAGATCAGATATTTAGGAAACTATATTGCTGAAGTCAGTTGTTCCAGTTTATATTATTTCAGGAATGTTTAGCCTAAAAATACAATGTTTGTGATCCTCTATAACAGGGGTTCTCAACCTTGGCAACTTTAAGACGTGTGGACTTCAACTCCCAGAATTCCTCAGCCAGCAAAGCTGAGGAATTCTGGGAGTTGAAGTCCACACGTCTTAAAGTTGCCAAGGTTGAGAACTCCTGCTCTATAACTTAGTCCTAAGTATCAAGATGTGATTATGTGATCTTCATTGTGTTCTGTGATGCTACAGTTCTACCAAGTTTACATATCAGGATCATATGACATATTTCTACCTTGACAATTTTTTCCCCACAATTATATTTCAATTCAAAACTGGCATTTTATTTCCCAGCTAGATATGACAGAGATACTGTTTATTCAGTTCTATTTTGATCGAGTATAGAATTAACTTGTGGTATTTTCTACCCCTAGCCTAGATGATTTTAAACATGGGTTGAGCACATTCATATACATGACTATTGGTGGCTAATAATCTTGATAATTAAGGGAATTTCTGCTCAGTGTCTCTGAATGCCAGCTGTTTTATTTAGTCAGCAGAGAAACGGTGGCTGCTTGTACAATTGCTTATACATATTCTGAAAACATTTATTCAACATTGTAAATGGAATATTATATTAGAATCATCTAGTTGAAAAGGACTTTGGGAATAAACTAGATTCACCCTTTCTTCTAGCTTAATAAAGTTGTTCTTACGAGCCCAGGTATGTTACACTGTATATTTTTTTTATATTACTAGGTGTTTGTTTCAGTTGACTCTTAAATAGAAAATGGCCAAATTTGGGGATTTCATTCAGAAACTTTTTTTAAAAACAAATGAAGTGTTGCTTTTGAAATGCTATCATTTTTTTTCATCGCCACAGATCCTACTTAGATTTCTTCATTTGATTTGCTACAGATATTTCCTTTCGCTTTTCTGAGATTCTTGACCTAATGTATATTATGTAACTAATCCTTTGGAAAGCAGTTTAGGCCAATTGTCTGTTTGCAGAATATCTTTTGCTTGTTTTTTAATGTCAAAGGGTTTATTTGGGTTGTTGAATTATTAGATGCATAACCAGAAGTAGAGCAAGAGGCCTTGAAGCATTTAGTGTCTTGCTAAAACATATTTTGGGGTTATAAGCTGCTTTCTCAATGGAGGACTCAAATAATTCCTTTCTGTACTAAAAAACTGAGCCTCTCATAATATTCTCTAGTGACCTCCATATTCTATTTTCTAGTTTTATTCTACACAATTCATTTTGTGGGATGCAGAGCCCTTTTTGCTATTCTAACATTTACCCAAAACATTACATGTATGGAACTTCTGTTTTGTGAACAAACTTAGAATATGTGTGTGTATGTATGTATGTATGTATGTATGTGTATATATGTGTGTATATATATATATATATATATATATATATATATATATATATATATATATATAGCCATACTCATCCTGCTGTAGACGTTGGCATTTCTGCTTTTCGTATTTAAACATCTGGAACAGTCATTTTTCTATCAGCAGTTGCCTGATGTGCTTGTTTATACATATATTTAGCAACGCATCTTAAGGAACTGTCATTTGTTTTCCTCTTGTTAATTCTTATTTTCATATTCTCATGTTGTAACTTCTGGCTGAAGTGTGTATTTTGGTCTACTGGGGTTGTACTTAGAAGAAACACTAGAATCAGTTTGTGGTGAGTGTTCTCACTCCCATGAATATCTCCTGTTTCCTGGTGCAGAAAAAATGGATAACTATCAGCAGCTCATTTATCTGAATGTACAATGCAGGATCGAATCTGGATCGGTCACTGGGACCAGAGGTTTAGTCTTCTGAGTTTTCAGACTCGGAGCCCATCCTCAGGGAACTTTTGATGAGAGAGAACCCTCCGGAAGCTTGGAAGATAAAACCTCTGGTCTCAGTGATCGATTCAGATTGGATCCTGCAACATTATCCTGGGACATGATAATGTACAATGTACAATCCCTCCTATTAGAGCAGGGGTCCCCAACCTTTCTGGGTTGGCGGTCTGGTGGGAGAGGAAGGGGCAGGCACCTTACACGCACATGCGCAAACCTGAATGTGGCCACACATGCGTGTGCACATATAAACAGGCCACAAGCATGTGCACCATGCAAAACGGGGTTGCGAGCATGCGTGTGAGGCTCTTAGCAGTGCCAGCGCCTGTGTGAAGCTTGGGGTGCCATTGCTGCCAGGCTTGCAGCGATGCTACCACCGGCGCGAGGATTGCACTGTGGCCTGCTTGCGGTGCAATGCCGCTGCCTGCGTGTGGCGTGCTGCTGGCCACCTGCCGCTCACAGCACTGCCACTGCCCACACAAGGTTCGTGGCAATGCTGCCGCTCACGCAATATTAGCAGCACTGTTGCTGCCTGAGCAACATTTGTGGCAACAGTGGCATGAGGGGGGGTGAGCATATGTACCCTTGCACTGCCCAGCTATTCACACAGTCCAGTGCCCAAAAGGTTGGGGACCTCTGGTCTATGTAATCACCATGAGTCAAAATTGATTTTGACAGCACAACAATAAATATTCTTTCAATTAGATTATTTTGTGGGTTCTTTCTAACCCGTCTCCCCCCAAATTTTGGTGGGGGAGGAATAGCAGGAAGGTTGAATGGGCAAACCTGAACCATAAATGTAAGTCTGCTTCAGTAAAAAAAAAAAAAACTTCTGTTTATATAGTAGTTCTTGAAAACAACATTCATACTTTTCCTCTACCTAAATGTCATTTTGTTTTTTAAAATGAAATTTTGTTCATCATAAACAATTGCCCTAAATTAGCATTATTATATAACATCCACCAGATCTTGGAGCAGTCTTGCTTTCATATCAAAGACTATGTCCTTGTTAAATTTGAAAGCCCTTTATTACTTAATTCCTAATTGCACTCCTCTTCGTCCTTTGATCCTTTTGCACATTTTCCATCTAACATCATTATATTCACTTGTTAGTGCATCTTCAGATGTTCTCAGTTGTTCAGGCACCAAAACTAGTTAGGTTAATTCATAATTCTATTATGCTGCATTAGATCCTTATAATGAAAAATTATCAGAATGCAAGATGGGTTTGATGCAGTGGTGGGATTCAGCCAGTTTGCACCAGTTCGGCAGAACCGATAGATAATTTTTTGTTGCCCAGGCCTAAAACGGATTTCCAGAAGCGACTTTCACACAGAGAACCGGTTGTTTACATATTTGAATCCCACCACTGGTTAGAAGTCATAGAATCATAGGACTGGAAGGGACCTTGGAGGTCTTCTAGTCCAGAGTTCACCAACCTTTCTGGGTTGGTGGTCTGGAGCGGGAGGAGAGGGGAAAGAGGAGATAGTTTTGTGGGAGGGGCATGTATGTGCTCACGCATGTGCACTTGCACGAGCACCCATTGTTTGCATGAGTGGGGCTGAGAGCACCCGTGAGGGCCCGAGCGCTTGCACGAGTGGGGCTATGAATGCCCGTGATGCTCACACATGCAGGGCCCCGAGCGTCCGGGACACTTGCACAAATGAGGCTCCAAGCATGCGTGTGCACCAGCCAACCACTCATGCGGCCCAGTTGTGAAGAG